GAAAGATGGAGCATTATAGCGGCATAAATGTAGCGAGACAATGAAATTGCATTCCTTCTGAGTTGCGCACACACTTTCTGTCTTTCAGCACCCTCTGTAATGTTAATGGCCGCCCGTCTGTTGGACGCTACCTTTGTGTTCCAGCTCAAGCAAGGATGTGATGTCATCGGGGCTTTTGTGTGTCTAATCCAGTGCAAACATTAGATGTCTACAGTGCTGATGTATGTGTGTGCATAGTACAGAATCTCAAGTATGCAGAGCAAATGCATCTCACATACAATGCCGCTCATTGATCAGCTGGAAAGAACCATATATTATAGATTTTTTTTTTTAATACAGTCTTTGCCTGGCAGCTCTGTATTGAAAGTCTTCTGCTACTCTTTATCTACATGCAGCCTCCATTCAAGCTTTATTTTGCTGATAAGTTCCTAGATGGTTTATCTGTTTTCATAATTTGTTGCAGACCCTGGACTGGATAAAAATGTACATTACTGTTCAAAAATTTGATGTTGGTAAGATTTTGTTATTGTTTTTCAAAGGTCTCTTGCTTACCAATGCTGCATTTATCACAAACACAGTAAACGTAGTACTATTGTGAAATAATATTAGAATTGAAATTGAATGTTTTCTATTTTAATATATTTTAAAACATAATTTATTCATGTGATAGCAAAGCTGAATTTTTAGCAGTCATTACGCCAGTCTTCAGTGTCACATGATGCTTGTGAAATAATTCTGGTATGTGATTTTTCACTCAAACATTTCTTATTATTATCAGTATTGAAAACTGTTGTGCTGCTTATAGTTTTGGGCGAAATCCGGATACATTTTCAGGATTCACTGATTAGAAATAAAAAAACTTATAAAAAATTATTTTGTTACATTATGTCTTGACTCTCACTTTTGATCATTCAAAAATTTGATGTTGGTAAGATTTTGTTATTGTTTTTCAAAGGTCTCTTGCTTACCAATGCTGCATTTATCACAAACACAGTAAACGTAGTACTATTGTGAAATAATATTAGAATTGAAATTGAATGTTTTCTATTTTAATATATTTTAAAACATAATTTATTCATGTGATAGCAAAGCTGAATTTTTAGCAGTCATTACGCCAGTCTTCAGTGTCACATGATGCTTGTGAAATAATTCTGGTATGTGATTTTTCACTCAAACATTTCTTATTATTATCAGTATTGAAAACTGTTGTGCTGCTTATAGTTTTGGGCGAAATCCGGATACATTTTCAGGATTCACTGATTAGAAATAAATAAAAAAACTGCATTTATTTGTGATATAATTATTTTGTTACATTATGTCTTGACTCTCACTTTTGATCACTTTAGTGTGTCCTTGCTGATCTCCGTATCGATACTTAAAATCCCTAGATCGATCTCTTACAAATTTGTACAGCAATTCCTGCAGATGCCACTGCGTTCTGCTGAACTAACTCACTCAGCCGCATAGTTTATGAAATCATGTTATTAATTTTTCAAATGAATGCGAGTTTGCAGTCTGTATGGAGTATTATGCAAAACAACTTGTGTAACCCCATTAACAAACAATAGACTCTTATGTGCTGGTTCTTTATAGTGAATCAAAAGCCTACAATGCAACCAGTGTACTGTAAGTCTGATTCTGAAACTATTTATGTGCACTATTGAGTGAACTTGAGCTGTGTGGACTTGACCTAACCGCTCAACACAAAAACACACATTCTTTTCTGCATGAGTACTGGAGGAAGACATTATCCTCCTGCCTTCACACCTAACCATTCAAACCACCGGTTCTCTTCTCCATTCTTTCATGCTGTTGTACATTCTTATCTGCTGTTCTTTCAGGCCTGCAGTGTTGCCTCAGGTGAGATAGGCCTCAGGTAAAAGACAGTAGGCATCTTGAGTCCTTGTCCATGCGGTATATTATGTGTTGAAGATGCCTGAAATTGATTTATACCACCGTTTAGATATTTTCTTTCCAGCAAAACAACTTTATATATAGTAAAAAAGGCATACTAGCACACCTGCCCTCCTCTAAATCGCAATGTACGGCTTAATTAAGCATAATTTGATTGCAGCACAATACCTTTAATGGACAGTGCTTTTAATTACACCATAGCATCTTCACAAAGCTTTAAAGCACTCTGTCGATTGATGGCCTACTATGTCATTTCCTTTTAATGGACATCCTGCTCTTAATGCTGCTGTCAATTTCGCGTTAGAGTGCACTCTCGTTTACGACTTCGAACGAGACTCAATGTTTGGTTTTCTTGCTTATCCAATTGGTTGTGTGGTAAATATTAGAATGACACCATCAATGTTGTTTCTTTCTATCAAAAACACAGACTACAATGGAAAAATGTGTTTGGCTTTGACTGAAACATGTATGTTCATGTTTTAATAATGTTTACTACACACAGTCAACCCCTGTTTGATGTAAAGAAATGTACAAACGTGCAGGTAAAAGACACCCACAATTGAAGCATTTCTTATTTACACAGCCCTTTTGCTTTTATGAGCATAAATTGCTTCGGATTCATAAACATGACTGCGAACATAAACACTGATAGTATAAATGGCTCGGCTGCCATTGGAAATGACAAAGCAGAGCAAACAGACTGTTATTGTCTACAATAAAAATAATCATTACATACATTGCCTCGACAATAAAATGCATCTTTGTTTCCAAATAGACCATTTTTGCGGCGCTACTGAAACTCGATTAACTGTAACCGCTAAAAAGAAGGAATTAATAAATAATGCATGAAGAGTAAATAGCGATCCACCTGAGGCTTGTTGTTTAAATGTAAATACTGAGCTGTGAGAGAGGTGTGGTGGGTTCAGTTACCTTTTAAATCCACCCACTTTAATTATTGTAATGTCTTGTTTGATTTAACGAATTGTTTAGTGGCTGTTTGGGAACAGATGATGGTATTAACACAGGAGACGGATCTGAGGTTACCGTTAAAACTTGCACCTCGACAAACATTTGCTTATCATCTTTACATTCCTTTAAATTCTACCCACTAGATGATTTTTTTTTTTCTCATTTTTTCTTTGTTCTATAACCTTCTAAGTCACCTTTCATCCAGCATGACTGTACTGCAAAAGGTAACAACTTGGGATTTAAACTTAATATCATTTTACACAAGTTTTCATTTTACACACTCTTGTGTGGTACTGACAGAAACCCAGGGCACATGTGCCCTCCAGTTATGTTTTGTGGCCTGTGTGATGCTGTAGTCATCATGGCAATTGGAGTAAACACAAACATGTCTTTTAAAAATCTGACATCAAGCTGTCAGACAACTAGTCTGGTTTTAATTTGTAGTCGTCAACACTAAATTCTCAACTGATGTTGATTGTAATAGAAGTTATGTAGTTTTGCGTCACTCTGCCTGTGTGTGGCGTAAACAAGATGTAATTCTAGATTGATTTCAATTGCCAAACAACATCGAAACTTGACTTATCTTGGAATTCAGCTGATTTGTGGTCACTGTTGTATGTATTCTGGGTATTTTATGATGGTTTCAGTTGTGGCTCATCCAATCATATTTGGAATGTATTACTGGCTTTTTTAACTCGTGTTACATAAAGTGAAGCTGTTTTTGCACTGATGACTGACTGATTATGAATTATCTTTTGATTTGCGTCCATCAAGTTCAACATGGAAAAAAAAAAAAGAAAAAAAAAAAACTTAAAGGTCATATTAGGTCTGATTTAATACATTTTCAATTATAACCAAGCTTATACAGTAATTTTAGCACAAAGATCTGAATGAAATATAATTGTATTTAATTTTTGTTATTTGTCATGGGTATTTTCCAAAGTGGTATGTGGTCCTTAAATAGGATGTGGTGTTATTTTGAACCTTTGCCATTGTCTGAAAGCACCTGGTATTTGCTGTTGGCAAATACCCTGCCAGCCAAAACAATTATGAATTACCATTATAGAAGTAGCATAATTAAACAGTATATCTAGACATTATTTATAGATACCTGAGGCGAAATTCAGATGCAAAACAGTAGCAACATCAAACATAAAGTGCAATCAAACTAGAATGTGGCAAGACAAAACATGGATACCACTTGTTTTCTTGCAGACTGCTAACACGCCTGGAAACATGTTGGGTCGTGTCGCTCTACATAAGTTGGCATCCTTTCATTTTGACACTTGTTGCAGTACCACCAGCTGCCCACAGGTTGTACCAATCATATAATACATCTTTAGTGTTGAGAACACATATTTAAAATGAACTAACGTGACAATTATTGAAAATCGTATTACAACTTAATTTAATTGCTTGCAATCCCAGCAGTCCGAGTTCTCATCATGCTTTACATGAGAGTGGGTGTTGAAATTGTTAATGTTTTGAGCAAAATGAAAAAGGTTAGTTTCAGTTAGCTTGTTAGTTTCAACTTAGCTTTAGCATGCTTTAGATAGTTCACCCTAAAATGAATACTGTTTATTCTACCTGTCGTGGGTAAACTAAATCAAAACAGATCTTCAATGATACTTGTACAAGAGGAAAGTTTGGGAGAGCATGTTTGACTATTGCCTAAGTTTTTGTGGCTGCAAAGCTGTATGTGCAATATTATGCTACAAAAAATGGCAATTATAGCATTTTGTCACTCTGCAGCTGCTCATCTGCAAAATTAGCTTGTTACTGGAAATGTTATGTTATTTTTATTGCAGCTGAACTTCTGTAACAACTTTCAAAAATGTAGTTACGTAAAAAGTCTCTCCCAAACTGCAGCATTTATGCGGCTTCCTTGATATGGAAAGATAATAGTCTCTGGAGTAATTGGAAAGCAGAGAAACAGAAAGAGAGGGAGAGAGAGAGAGAGAGAGAGAGAGAGAGAAAAAGCCTGACAGAAAACACTGACATCATTACAACATGCACACAATTCAAAAGCTAAGAAGCTTGTCAGAAATAATCTGATAACATGGAGACAATTTCCGAGCAGAGAAACAAAACTGACATTGTTTGTGACCCTCTAACAGGTTTTGGCAAGAAATAATCTTAAATGCTTCAACCCAAACAGAAGAACAGAATGGCCTGCAGTGACAACGCAATGAAGAGGTAAACACTTCCTGGGGTACCATCAGTGAGAGACGTGCATTTAGTGTAGTATCCGGTGAGTGTGATGCATACTCCATGATGTTACAAATTGCTGTCTGCACCATGAAGATTAAATGAAGCCTTTTAAGTGTATATCCCAGATACTGTTATTGTATCACATTTCTGAAAAATTCCCAGCAAGCATTTCACACGGTCCACTGAGTGACAGCTTAAAGTACTGCTGCACGGGGGGAATACCTGCTGTAAGGCAATACTTTACCACAACCGCTTGACACTGTGTGCTACGGGAAAAGATTGAAAACACAATGAAATGAAATGTAATACTAGTATACTGTGTGCTGCACAATATACTACCTAGTATTTTTTTTTCATGTTATGTAAAAACAGTGTGCAGTATGCAACAGTAACAGTAGTATGTTACACTGTTGTGACATTACCTCACATTGCATGTTAATTCAGCAGTTGTCCTGAGGTTATCATCTAGGAAATTACTTACTTTAGCATAGGGAGGGAGGGGCTTGGAATATAATTTCTTCAAATGGAAAGTGTATGATTCTATGGAGTTTGTAAACATAAAATGTAAAAACATGTAAAAAGTGTTTCCAAGAGCATTAGCCCATTAGTGCCATATCATATCCAAGCTAGAAAATAAATACATATTTTTTTTAAATGATAATAATAATAATGATAATAATAATAATAATTATTATTATTATTTTAATTTAAATTGTAATTTTTTGTATGTGTCCATTTTGTACTATTTTAATCATATTAAAAAGCGAGGAAAACTCTTTTTTGTTTCCATTTTCTGTACTATTTTAATTCTGCTATTAATGCTTTTATCATTTCTTGCTAGAATAGGTAAAGTAGTCAACTACATTTGATAGAGAAAATGTCACCACTTAAAATACAAATGAGTCATGTAGCACCACTGAGATTTTTTCTATTGCACATCTCTTTAAAACAGTTCTTTTAATACACTTTTCAAGTAATATTGTATGCCAGCTGTAAACAGCTGCATGCCAACTGTATGGCTTTTGCAATTTTAACATTTTTGTGTATTTTTGCCCAAACAAATTAGTTAAAAACCATGTAAAGATTGCATTACTACTAATGGTTAAATCGTCACTTCAAAAATATACTTTTTTTTAGCACATTGCATTGTAGTATATAGTGTTCCTCAGAGTGTGCTCTGTCCTGTACTGCACATTTTAGCATATATATTCTATATACAAGCAGAACATTTGCATGCTAGACAATAATATACATACTGCACACTAGAAATAGTATGAACATTTTAGTGAACTGCTCATCCAAAGATAGCCGCTGTTTTTCTCTCCCACATGGTTCCTCAAGTATATGACCTCCCAGTTCAACTGAAGAACTTCTCAGCTTGAAGGATGTGGAGAGAGTCAGGTAATCTCAGTTCTCCTCTGTGACAGCTCAGGTGAGACTCCGAGCCACTGTTGTCTCTGATCTCCTGCAGAACGGAGCATTTGGTGCTTTTCCTCATGCACACGCTTTCACGTCCGCAGTATCAAAGCTTCTGAGAGCGAATGAGCTCTGAATGATCTTTTCCTGTACCCTAGGAAACTACTGTTTATGCAGCTGTGTCAAAGGCACAATCAAGGTTGATTTGAGTTTTAAGCCGCAGCATTAGCTTAAGATTTAAGCTTTTCCTCTAGGGCCGCCTTGACTGTGACACTGACAGTTGAGTGGTCGTGTTCCAACAGGGCCTGAAGGTAAATATTGAATGGTTGTCATTGTTAGGTTGGGTTGGGTTGGCGGATGGTGCATTTGGCGGAGAGCCCGGAGGCATATTGAAACCCAGTCCCATATGAGAGAGACTGATCACTTAATCAGCGTATAAAGCTGAGATGGTAGAGAAAACAGCATGGAAAGGTCGAGAGGTGAGACAGAAGAATCTAATTCCATTTCCCACTGTCTCATAATGACTGGGATTTTATGAGGTGAAGAAATGTTGGACTGGTTTATTCATGAATCTAAAGCTCAGATAATGCAGTTAGATTTAGTTTGGTCATCGTGTTTTTTTGTTATACCTGAATGCAAGTGACGATCTGGCGCTGGAATATATAGGTTGTAATCTTGTTGTCAGTGGTGGAAAGCAACAAACGTAATGTTCTCATCAGCACACATGACCATTCAGATGTTTGCTTCGATCTCTCATTTTTTCCTTCAGTCAGTTAGTTTAATGTAAAAACTAGCAACTTAAAGGGATCGTTCACTCAAAAATAAAATGTAATTAATTTCTGCATTTATTATTCCAAACCTGTATGACCTCTGTAGAACACAAATTGAAGAATTGACATCCATTAAATGGACCAAAAAATTGGTAAAGATGACTGTGAGACTAGTATTCAGCAAAAGCATCCATAACAGTAATGGTCACTCCTCGTAGTAACACTCAATTGAAGAAGCTTTTCCAGGAAGAACTGTCGTCTGGTCGAATACCACCCTCAGTGTTCAGAGTCTATCATTTAACTGTCTTCATTTGTTAACCAAAGCCCTGATTACGTGTGTTTGTTGAATTTGATAAGCACTGATGTAGCTTAGCTCTTGTGTCCTCGTAAAGTGTTTGCTTTTTTGATTTAATGAGGGTTGATGGGTCAGCAATATTCTAAGATTATAAAACGTACACATTTGCTATGTAAGAATCATCTGATTTGTCTCTCACAGACATTTACGCAAGTCTAAAGGAACTGACGTGGTTCTTCAGTTTGCTGGTTTTGGGCGGTTTGAATACACAAACACAGAAATTTGTCTAAGAACATCATCCGTAACTGTAGAGGACAGGCCACTGACGGCCCAACCAATCACCCCAGCTCCCTTTTGGATGATTCATTTACATATATTCACAGAGAGGAGGAAATCTGCCTCAGGCTCTCAAGGCCTACTATGCACGCCAAGAAAGAAACAAAAAAACACAAACTCATTCAAATGCTTTAACGCAAATACAACCCATGTGACAATTCGGATTACACTCATTTTAATGGTGTTGTACGTCTTGCTAACTTTTGCCAGAGTTAAAACTACACAGTCTTACAGTCAGAACTTTTTTTTTTTGCTGCCAGGGTTGGATGTAATTTCTCAGGACATATTTTTCAGCAATATGCCAGCTAATTGGACTTTTTTTAATGCATGCTATTCCATACATTTTTTTTATCACCTTTAACAAAAAAATATACTTATTTGACAGAAAAATACTTATTTTTAAAGCAAAACAGCCCACAAAACACCAGAAAATAAACATTTTCACTATTTAATGCAAAATCAAAACCATCTGTTTTAATGCTTGCTTTAATGTAATTAAATTTTTTTATTATAATAATGTAATGTAATATAATATATATATTTTCTTATATTTAGTATTTCATTAAGTTATACACTTCCATTCAAAATTTTGGAATCAGTAAGATGTTTTTTTTGAAGACTTGGAGTAACTACTGGAAAGTCAGCTTTGCCATCACAGGATTAAATTACATTTTAAATTGTATTAAAAAAAAAAACTTTTTAATTCTAATAATATTTTGCAATATTACTGTATTTTTGATCAAATAAATGCAGTCTTGGAGAGCAGTTTTTTTTATAGTCGTCTTTGTCAAAACATTTTAAAAAATCTTACAGGCCCCGGTGTAGTGTACATATTTTTATTTTTATTTTGCTTCTGGCTTGTTTGGTACTGTTTGTACCAAATCGTTTTTTGTAAGTTTATTTGATACCAGATCCCGACACATTATTTAAAAGATGAAAGAACAAAAAGTACTTTTCTGAGTTTTGTTTGTAGGAAATATTCTTGATAGGAATATTCCTTTCCTTTGCATTTTTTAAAAAAAAGCACAATGTCTTTTTGAAATTCAAAAAGAGAGAGGCACTGACAGTAAAAGCAGTATATTCTGGATGCCTAAACCTTAAATGCACGGCAGTATCTACTACTGCAGAACTGGTTAAAAAGTAATATCTTTAGACATGGTGCCATATTTACACCATGGATTTGTTCTTTGGAGTTCTTAGAAATACATTGAGTACCATGTAAATGCATACCGTAATCCTTCAGTCCCACAGTATACAAAAAAACATAATGCCATTACCATCTGATACAATCGCTATACCATGACACCACCATAGTGATTTGTGAAATCACACACAGGATTGTTGGCATACTTTACTCTGTGTAGGCCGCATGTGTAACAAATCCATTGCAGCAAGTCAGCCGAGAAGAGAAAAGACATTTGTCAGAAAAGGGATGGCCAGACACAAAGCGAAGGAGAGCGGAAATGTTTTTCTGATAAGCACGCCTCCAGGAGCACTCCGCTGGCCCTCTGTGATTAGAAACGCGCTGGAGTACGTCCAGAACACGTCAGGCTGACCTTGACACGTGCTTCATCATGCTGTAAGCGTATACTCCAGAGGGAGTGGATGACACAACTGGCTGGGTAATCACAAATTACACCCCATCCCCCGATCCAGAGTTACCGCCGGCCGCCCGTCTTCTCGTTTGAAATATCCGCTCTCGTTCAACGTTCATGCTACACTCGTAATGTTTATTCATCCGCCAAATGGTGCATATTCCGTTCTATACAATCCATGTCTACACATGCCATGTCTGCGTGTCTCAATCTGTGCTATGAGCTCTACAACATGCTATCTGGACAAAGTCACGCATGCTGGAGAATCCTAATGCTCTATTGATTGACTCGGCCCTAAAGCTTTGAATCATATAGGCCTGCCAAAGGTTATCATAATCAATATGCAATAACCGTAATAGCTCTCTCAGCCCGACTACAAAGGAATAAAAGAATAATCATGCAGATTTGCTCGACCGGAGGTTATGGGGGCGATGATATCAGTGGTTGTAAGGACGGGGTCCCAGCGTTCCTCAAGCTAGTTGAGCTCCCTAGTTTGGCTGCCATGGTAACCTTGACGAAAAGTGCCGGTTTGCAAAAGTGGGAAAGGAAGTGTCTATTTTTACCCACAGGATGGAGAGGGACAGATAGAGCTGATTTTGAGGATGAGAGATGTCACTGCATTTCTTTA